AAAACTAGGCCAGGAGCTGATTGTGGAACAGACCACCAACTACTCATATGCAAATTCAAGCTGAAGCTGAGGAAAATTAAACCAAATCCAAGACAACCAAAATATGACTTTGAGTCTATCCCACCTGAATTTCAGAACCATCTCAGGAACAGGTTTGAGGTCTTGAACACTAATGAGAGAAGACCAGACGAGTTGTGGGAGGATATCAAGGGTATCATCCAGGAAGAGTGCAAACGGTCATTGCAAAGACAGAAGAGGAAGACCAAAATGGATGTCAGAATAGACTCTGAAAATTGCACTGGAGTGCAGAGAAGCTCTCTGCATATTCCATTATAATACTTTACTTTGTCTTCTCAAGCTGCCCTTTGAAATCAGCTCTTTTACTTTGGTATGTTTTCCCTTTGTTTTGGCTTCTTGACACTCTGATGCAGTTTTTAGAGGCTCTTCTGACATCTATTTTGATTTTTTCTTTCTCCTCAGCCTTTGTAATGACCTTTTACTTTCTTTATGGAGGAAGATAAACTTGATATTATCCCATAGTTAATCTGGTCCTTGTTGTTCAATGCTTCCAACCTCTTCTTAAGATGATCTTGAAATTCAGATGGAATAGAGTCAAGATCATATCTTGGTTCTTTGGCTTAATTTAGTTTCCTTCGACCTCAGTTTGAACATGAAAATGAATAAATGATAGTCTGACCCAAAATCGACCACCCCTGGCCTAATTTTGACTGCTGATACTGAGCTTTTCCAGTGATTCCTTCCATAGATGTAGCCGATCTGATTCTTATGCAGTACATCATGTGAGGTCCCTGTTGTAAAGTCATCTTTTGTCTTTTAAAAAAAGGTATTTGCAATGAATAAATCATACAAAGTACAAAATTTGATCATTGTATTTCCGGTCTAATTTCTATCATAATGCCCATATTTCCCAACTACTATTCTTTCTTCTTAGAAGGAGGATTGGCATCCACTTCCAAAATAGCTTGCCTCCTGAAACTCTATGAACATGGAAAAACAATGAAAGTTCTACAAGCAAGTGTTCAGGTCTTTCATTCATAGGGTCGTTATGAATGGTTTACGACTCGATGGCACTTAACAACAACAACAACACCACATTCCTTCTTCACTGTTTCTGATTTTTGCATTCCAGTCACCAATTATCATTAACAGATCTGGATTGGATGTTCAGTCAATATCAGACTGCAAGATTTGGTAAAAATTGCCAATTTTTTTCCTCTTTGTATAATCATGTTAATGGGCCTTCCTTGTATGCATATGGATAATAGCCTATCACTCACAACATTGTATTTCAGGATAGAACTTGAAATTGACTTTTTTACTATAAAAGCAACACCTTTTTTCTTCTGTTTTTCATTCCCAGCATAGTATGCCATCTAAAATAATAACCACTTCCCATTGCTTTCAAATTGATTTTAACTCAGATACCTTGTACAGAATTGTTGCACATCCAAAAACTCCTCCAACAGGGTAAAAAGGGAAGCCATAGATTGGGAAAAAATATTTGGTAGTGACATGTAAGATAAGGGACTTATATCTAGAATTTATGAAATACTTGAGCACCACAACACGATAAAGGTAAATAACCCAAATGCAAAATGGGCACAGGATATGAACAGACACTTCACCAAAGAATACATTCAGATGGCAAACAAACACATGAAGAAACGTTCAAAATGCCTAGCTCTAAGAGAGATGCAAATCAAAACAACTATGAGATTTCATCTTACCCCAGTAAGAATAGCAAAATTTAACAGAATAGCAAGCAACAAATGCTGGTGAGGCTGTGGAGAAACTGGAACCCTTGTTCACTGTTGGTGGGAGTGCAAAATGGTGCAAAGCTGCAAATAGAAATACCATTTGACCCAGCAATTCCACTACTGGAAATATACCCTAAAGAAACCAGAACTATGGTGAGCTCTGGTGGCCTAGTGGCAGGAAACTGTACTGCAATCCCAGAGGTGCGTGGTTCAAATCCACCGGATGCTCTGCTGAAGAAGGAGGAACAATCACCTCCTGTACCAGTCAGATCTAATTTGATGGTACACACATTAATAATAATAATAATTATAATAATAATAATAATAATAATACTTTTTTAAAAAGAAACTAGAACTACCACCCAAGCAGATATATGTATACCCATGTTTATTGTAGCTTTATTCACAGTAGCAAAGAATTGGAAACAACCCAAGTGCCCATCAACAAATGAATGGATAGAGAAGCTCTGGTCTATTCACACAAGGGAAAACTACACTACACTGCATTGAAAAACAAGGAACTCATGAAATATTATACAAAATAGGTGTGACCCTGGAGGACTTTATGCTGAGTGAAATATCTCAGTCACAAAAAGATAAATATTGCATAATGTCACTGTTATAAAAGAGGACTGACACAGGGATTGGGGAGAGACTGAGAAAAAGGGGATCAATAATGTATATCGCATTGAAACAGATGAAGGAGAGAACTGTTTAAAAGGGATATGTGATTAGGTATTATTGTCATGACAGGAGTCCAGAATGAAGGCAACATAGTGGAGTGGACTTGGGGGGAGGGATTGCATAACAATGAAATAATTTTTCTTTTACTTTTCAAAGAGAAGAGTAAATTGGAGGGGAGGGGTGGACAGGGAGAAAAGTGCAACAATGAATGAATGAATGAATGGAAATCCAAAGTCTCTGTGAACTTTCATTAAAATTAATAATAAAAATAAGAAAAATAGCATTGTATTATAGGCTTTCTAAGGCTGTAAAACTTTATGGAAACAGACTGCCACATTTTTCTGTGGAGTGGCTTGTGAGTTTGAACCATTGCCTGCAGGGCTCCTTATAGTTATCTTAAACCAGGAAAAACACCTGTAACTCAGTCCATTGCCATTGATTTGGTTCCAATTCATGACAAACGTCCATTAGATCCAAGGCTGTCTTTGCAGGAGACTGATTCAATGCACCACATATGTCTCCCCCTGTCCTGTCTTCTATTTCTCTACAGCACTTAACCATATTCTAATAAATTGTATGATGTACTGTACTTATGTTCACTGTCTCTGCCACAAGAATATCAACTCTGCGAATACTCCAAATCCAAAATTCACTTTCAACTCGGAGCAACCTTCCAACAGTTACTGGGGATGTCAGTCTTTATAGGAGACTTTCCAGGTTCTTATACAGAGTGGCTAGGGGATTCGAACTGCCAACCGTTTAGTATGTAATCCAATAAAAACCTTATAGGCTACTCCTCCAGGGCTCTTTCCTTGGATGCTAAGTCTATTTTATTAACAGGCAACTGCTGGAGCATAAAACAGTACCAGGTATATAGCAAGCACTTAGCAAGTACTTGTTGCAAAAGGTAATGAGTGAGGGAATACATTGAGTGGATGGCTGATTGAATGAAAGAGGTGCTTGGACTGCCTTGGCTACAATATGCCTTGCTAGGAGAGTGTGGCCCTAGCATCGGCTACTGCGGCCGCCAGAGGGCGTGAGCAGACCTGGTCCCTAAGAGCCAGTCCTGGGATCCCTCCGGGATCCAGGCCCCCGGAACCCCAGGCGTGGGGGCTGGGGCTGGGTCTCCTGGACCCCATCTCTGTCTGAAACATACATCACTGTGGGCTCCTAGTAGTGCAGTGATCTGTCCCGCCCTGCAAGCGGGGAAACTGAGGCGGGGCGCTGCTGGGGCGGGGCCGGCCCCTAGGCAATCGCGAGCCCCCGCCCCTGGCCGGCCCCGCCCCAGCCGGTAAGAGGCCCCGTGGACGGAGGCGCCCGGCGCAGCCTTCTGCCGGGGCCAGGACGGGGATGGCAGCTCAACGGCTGGGCAAGCGCGTGCTCAGCAAGCTGCAGGCGCCGTCGCGGGCCCGCGGGCCTGGAGGCAGCCCCGGGGGGCTGCAGAAACGGCACGCCCGGGTCACCGTCAAGTATGACCGGCGCGAGCTGCAGCGGCGGCTGGACGTGGAGAAGTGGATCGATGGGCGCTTGGAGGAGTTGTACCACGACAGGGTGAGGCGGGCTCTGGGGCTTCGGAGGTGTCGCGGTGGGGGAGGAAGTGGCGCCCGAATTCTGGCCCCTACCCAGACCCTACAGTCTTGGGGGCGCACGCTCCCTTACGCTCATTGGCCTGTCCGTGTACACTCGATGGCTGTGAACTCCGTGAGGAATGGGCGTATACCTGGGTCCCCAGAGATGTGTCTGAACACCTAAAGGACCTAGGCGTTGGCATATGGGGTCAAGAAGGGAAGACTGAGGAGCTGGGGCGGCCATATCTGGAGAGAGGGCGGAGGAGGGGCGGGTTAAAGCCAAACATAGACTTTAGTTACAGTCTAGATACAGCCACACAGAGACGCACGGCGGAGGCCGGCCACTGTAACACTCACGAAGATGTACGCTCTGCCACTCCAGGTCAACGTACACTGCACCCACACAGCAGCACAGGCCACAACTGTATACAGACACACAGCCAACTGTATACAGACACACAGCCACCCACTCACCCTCAGTCACACCGTAACTCCTGTTTAACAGCGAAACACAGATGCACACTGGCCCAGGCGCAGCGGCTCACACAGACAAAAGATCACAAGTTGCCTTCAGTCACTACGATGCAGAATCTCCCTGAAGCTCAGATGGAACCCTACGCTGCTGGAGCCACCTGCACAAGCCCCCATAAGCCCCACATAGGAGCCACTTCCCGCTGTGGAAACACCCCCTGCTCAGGTCCCCCGTTTATACTCTCAGCTGTTACTTTGCTTGAGCCCATTGTTTCAGCCTCTGTTTTGTTGAGGGTCTCCCGCTTTTTCACTGACCCTGTAAACATCTCTCTGTCATTGCTATCAAGTTGGAACCCACTCATAGCTGACCCTCTACTGGGTTTCCAAGGCTTTGAACCGTGCAGGAGATTGTCCATTTTTCTCCTGAGGTGGTTTTGAACCACCAAACTTTGGTTTGGAACCAAAGGCACAGCCTTTGTGGGATTAACAGTATGTAACTCCTTATGGACTGGGCCAGTACACATATAAACATACAAAGGCGGAACTTGAAGCTGCCCAGAGCATACAGCACAGTGACAGTGACACACAGAAGTTACACCTTGCACACAGAAGTGACACAGAAGTTACACTTCGCCCATAAGTGTGATGAATAGCAGCGCACAAATTCACGCTCAGCACAGCCCTGGTGGAAGCCCTTGTCCTGTCCTCGGAAACACATGTTGGCTGGTCCAGAGGACAGACATCCAGTTGCTGGTAGCTGGTGGCCATGCACACTTGATGATAGGACACACACACACTCGAGCCAGAGCCACAGAACTCGCTCCCATGCGAGCACAGGTCCATGTCACCCACATGATGCCATCTGCTTCTGCAGCCTCACACCAGCCCCAGACCATGGGCGGCTTCAGGTTCTACTCATGCACGAGTAGCACGCCTGTCAACACTTATGCTTGTGCTTAACTTTTGTCATCCAACCCTCGACCACCTGGAAGCCTGAGCAGGGAAGTCAGCCGACCTGCAGGAGTGCAACCTCATAATGCTCTATCTTAGACAGTGGATCCTGTCCCAGCAGGGGTCCCGGGAAGCTCTACTGGAAACCCACTCTTGACCACCTAGAAGTTGGGGCTTGGAACTCACCCCACCCATTCACCATGGGGACTTCAGTGGTCCTTGTCTGGGACTGCAAAGCCCTGCCTTCTGCCTTGTACCCCCAAGGGAAGGAGGGAAGGGGCCGCCCCCGCCTGCCCTCTTCTTGCCCTGCCTCTAATGCTGAGAGTTTTCCTTGAAAGGACAGAGCCAGCCCCTCTCCCACAGCTCTGCATATGACATTCCAAGACTCGACCAGGCCTGTTTCCCTACTGTGAGAACTAGGACCAAAGGAAGAAGCCTGTGCCAGCAGAGGGCTCCTGAGGGGCCCAGGGACACAGGGACCCAGGCTTCTGTCAACCCATCTGTCACCCCTCCCCCTAACACCCAGATGTCCCGCCTTGGCAGTGCTGTCCCTGACTGCCACATTATTGCTCCAGAACCAGCCAGCTGGGCCCTAGGCCAGTGAGTTCCTCTAGCCCTGGATAAGGGGGGCAAAGGGACCCTGACATACACACACCTGCCCTTCCCCGCCCCTCCCCACCTTAGGAGGCAGACATGCCAGACGAGGTCAACATTGATGAATTGTTGGAATTAGAGAGTGAAGAGGAGCGAAGCCGGAAGATTCAAGTAGGTGAAGTGAGTGGGAGGGGTGTTGTCAATGTTTCATTCACCTCACACCCCTGAAAAGAAATAGCTCTAGGTAACATATTTATTGAGCACCTCCTGTGAGCCAGGCAGTTTCAACTTCTTGACATGCATTTCTACATTTGCCCCTCACAAGACTCTGTGAGGAAGTGGGGGAGGGTGTGTGTGTGGCTAATCATCTCTATGTTCCACGAGGAAAATGAGGCCCAGAGAGGTTTAATCGCTTGTCTAGGGTCACACAGCTCTGAAGGGGCAGAGCTGGGCATGAAGCCGAGAGTGTCTGGTCCCCAAATCCTTGCTCTCATGGCCTGTGCCCTCCTAGCAGTGGCCAGTTGGGAGGAAATGCTCCTCAACTGTCAATCCTTTCAGCATCTAGTGCTGCTGTAATGCCTGCTTTGTGTCTGCACACCGCCCCAACCAAAACTAACTTGCTCTCATCCACTTGACCCCTGCTTGTGGCAACCCTCCATCTAGTTTTCCAGGCTGGAAGTCTTAATAAAAAGAAACTGCCTCTCTTTCTCCTGAGAGCAGCTGGTAGATTCGAACCACAGGCCTTTTTGGTCATAGCCCAGCACTTAACCTACTACATCACCAGGGCTCCTTCTTCCCTACTTCAGTTGATCTATAGGATTCTGGGAACTTAGTTTCTTCCTTGAAGGTGGGTGGAAGTCCACCCTGGAGTCTAACTTCCATTGTCTTGCTGCATTGGGCTTTGTTAAGAAAGAGAAGGGAGGGGTGAGAGGGGAGTGGTGCTAGTCATTGATTGCTTTGTGTTTTTCGGGGGTGTCTAGGGACTCCTGAAGTCCTGCACAAGCCCCACAGAGGTATGTTTTTCCTTCTCTGCTCCCTAATTCAGGGGAGGTGTGTGGGGATTAGGGAATAAGCTGGCTGTGCCCAGGGGTCAGGCAAGGAAGCCCAGGGGAGCCCTTGTCTCTCTGGTGGCTCTTTTCCTGTCCCCAGTGGTGTCCTTTGTCCCTCTCACCCCTTGTTCTCCTCTCTCCCCATCTGTCTGTCACACTGACACCATTCTCTCCTCCTGCTGGGATGATGATGCCCATCCCCATCTGTCCTCTAGTCCTGCCTCTGCCAGGCTCTGTCCTCGCCCACAGATGGCAGGTCCTGTCTCTTGCCCCCCTTATTGCCTCTGCCATCTCAGGGACCCCATCTCCACCCCTCAGTGGGCCCCCAAGCCTCCCAGGCTCCAGAACTAGGCATCCAACCCCTCCCACTTCCTTCCCGGCTTTAAAAGGGAAAAGTATTCATGTTTCTCCGACCAGCTTTAGGCTGCCCGAGGGCCAAACGTCACTGTGTGTTTGCCCAATGCTGTCCCAGGTCTGGGTCTCTGGGGACCCTCATGGTCAGCTCTAGACCTGGAAGTGCTCTCAGTGTCTCTGTCTGTCTCCCTCTCAGTCTCTTGACAATCCTGGGTTCTATTTTGGGCTCTATCTTTCCCCTATCTTTCTCCTTCCCTCTTCCCTCTCTGTATCTTTCTCTATTTCTACCTTTTTTCTTTATCCCTCTCCCTGTCTATGTCCCCCTCTCTCTCTCCCTGCCTCTCTTCCTTTCTGCTTCTTTCCTTCCCTACCTGTCTCTCTCCCTCTCTGTCTCTCTTCCCCCTCGAGGCCTTGTCTGTCGGTCTCGCTCCCTCCCTCCTTTTTCTGTCTCTCTCCCTCTGTCTCCCTTCCTGTCCGTCTCTTTTCCCCTCCTCTGTCTTTTCCTGTGTCTTACACTAACTTTCTTCACCCTGTCCCTATAGGTACCTAGAGGTAAAAGGAGGGGGCGCAGGTCACTGGGGCTGGGCTGGGTTGGGGGTTAGGGGCGCCGCCTCCCACCTGCCCCGGTGATCTCAGCCCCCCACCTTCACCCCGCCCTCAGGACTTCGTGCAGGAGCTGCTGGCGAAGCTGCGCGGCCTGCACAAGCAGCCCGGCCTCCTCCGGCCGCGCAGCCCCTCGGACGACTCGGACGGCGGCGGCCTGAGCCCCCGCCTGGACCGCGCGCGCCCCGCGCCGCCCTGACCGTGCGCCCCGCTGCACCCCAGCCAAGCTGCACTGACGTTCTGTAGCAATAACCCCGCGTGGCTGTCTCTGCTCCCTCCGATTACCGCGGCCTTCCACCCTCCACCTCTGGTCCAGCCTTCCTCGCTCCTGTGGCTGCCCCTCGTGTCCCAGCACCCACAGCTGGCCAACCAGATGGCCGGTCACTCCTCCTCCGGAGAACCGACCCTGCTGACCCGCGGGCCGCCTGGGACTCGCACACATCCTGTCCCCGCCCCACCGTGGCCCAGGCGCTCAGCCCTGAGCGGTGAGAATCACGGCCATGATGGCCCTGGACCAGGGAGGGAGGCCTACCAGCCGATCACACCTCCACACAGCCCGGGAATGAACCATCCACTCCCCGAAATGGCCTTGCCTTCGAGTTAGGACCATAAAGAGAACATGGTCGCTGTGGTGGTAGGAAAGACTGGGTAGAGCAAAGGGTCCCAGACACTCAGGAGTCCCCGGGGTGTGGTGGTGAAGAAATCCAGTAGGACTTCCTGAAGAAGGAAACAATGAGGCTTTGAGGGAAACCTACAAATACCAACTTGCAGGGGGAAGGGTTGGTTAAATAGGCAGAATCTTCAGTGGGTGTGAACAATGCTCCTCACCCCAGCTGGATAGGGGAAAGAGACCCTTACTGGGTCAAGGGCTGAGGCATGAAGGTGTCAGGAGGGTCCCAGTAGAAAGCCTTAGGCACCAGAAGTGGGTAGTGGCTATTATCACAAGCTGTGAAGTGTTTCAATACTTTTAACAACATATCTGGTCATACCCATGGTCTCAGTCACAGGCAGTCAGTAGGTGGTGGGCCAGGCCAGGCCAGAGCTGGGGTCTCACCCCCAGGACAAAGCACATCTCCCATCTCACCTCCACTGACTGTAGAGGGAGGGTCCCTGACCCCTATCCCAACTGTGTGACCCCATCAGGATTGGGCACTCATCCCTGGGGGCTTTGGCAAGAAGAGAAGGTGACCTCAAATGCTCCCTCTGCCCAGAAATAGGAAGAGGTTCCTGTCGCTCCTTCTTTCATCTCAGCACCTTGTTCGTCTGTTCCAACTTCTCGTCCCTCTGCGCAACTGAACCAATGCAGACCTCAGCCCCCTCCGTGCTCCACCCTTAGCCGCGGCCTCTGGTTGTCAGGCTACCGTGTTGACGATCATTCTTTCCTTTACTGACATTCTATTTTCAAAAACACCATGTCCTTTCCCAGGAACTGGCCCCTCCTGCTAGCATGTCCCGACTATGGGAGACTGTCTCTGCTTCTAAGAAATCTCCTGGCTGCACATCCTTCCAGACAAGATTTGTTTGTGCGTCTTTGGCATTCCATGGTAGAGTCAAGATTGTGTGCCGACACCACAATTCAAAGGCATCAATCCTTCGCTCTTCCTGAGTCATTGTCCAGCTTTCACATGGAGGTGAGGTGGTTGAGGCCTTCAGAGACTAAGGTTGAGGAGGCCCAGCTCCCCAGTCCCCAGGCTCTCCCACTAAGGCTTCCTGCTTCCTTCTCACAAGGGTCTGTCTTGGTTCCTCATCTTTGTGGGAGTGTGTGGGGCCATGATCAAGGTCAGGTTTTGGAGTTTTTTTGGTTTTTTTATTTTTAGATTTTCTGTCACTATGTGACAAAGATTCTAACCAATGGGCCAATTGGCAGTACTATGCTAGATGGAGAAGAGATAGAGGTTGTTAATAATTATGGCTTGCTCTGCTCCACAATCAACACTCTCAACATCATCAGTCAGGAACTCAAAAGACAAATTGCATTGGGAAAATCTCCTGTCAGGGACCTCTCCAAAGTGCCGAAGAGCAATGATATCATTCTAGAGACTAAGGTGTGCCTAATCAGGCCATGGTTTTTGCAGTTATTTGTTATGCTTTAAAGAGCTGGACAATAACTAAGGATGACAGAAGAAGAATTGATGTCGTCTAGTTGTGGTGCTGGAGGAGAGTCTTGAATATGCCATGGACCGCCAAGAAAACAAGTTTGTCTTGGAGAGGGTGAAACCAAGTCTGTCCTTGAAAGCTAGGATTTTTAAAACTCTGTCTTACTTTGGGCACATGGCCAGGAGAGATCGGTCCTCGGAGAAAGACATCATGCCCGGAAGGGTGGAAGGACGACAGACAGTACAGGAGAGGAACACCCCGGATGAGATCGATTGATATAGGAACTGGGGTGGTGGGTGTTGGTGTGTTGGAGTCAATGAGTCTAGCTCAGGACAGAGCAGGGTTCAGAGCTGCTGTACAGAGGGTCACTGTGGGTCACAGGTAACACATAACAACATGTGACTCTACAGCAGTAGGTAAACCAATGCTTAGAAGTCTGTATTCATTTTATCTTATTCATTCTGTTGTTGATAATATGCACAGCAGAACATGTACCAATTCAACAGCTTCTACAGTACAATTTAGTGATGCTGATGACGTTGTTTAAATTGTACAAATGATTCTGCCCACCTTTTTTGAGTTGTTTCTCCCCTGTTCAGGTGAACTCACTACTCTTGAAGTTTCCTATCTAATTTTTTGAGTTGCCATTGTCAATTTGATCCCACAGGGATAAGTCTTAGAAGTGCACAGTGCTCAAGGCACACATTCTTACTCATTAAGCTAATTTATTCTTTGGTTTTAAGACAACTTCAGGGATAGGTATAAGCTTTAAAAATGATCAGAAGGCAATAGTTTCAGGGTTCAACCGGTCTCCATGGCTCCAGTAAGTCTGGACTCCATGAGAATTTAAAATTCTACATATTTCCTCCTCTTGATCAAGACTCTTCTTTGGAAGCGTTGATCAATGTTCAGTAACAGTGGCTGGGCGCTGTCCGTTTCTGGGCTCGTGATAAAGGAGGTGGTTGTTCATGGAGACGATTAACCACCTTCCATGTCCGCCTCTTATTCCTGACTTCTTACCCCTCTGTTGCTCCAGGCCAATAGAGATCAAGTGTTGAGCCTTGAGAGCAGTAAGAGTTTTAGATGTGCCATTTGTTAAACAGCTCTTTGATTCAGTTTCGTCATCTGGAAAATGAGAGCATCATAGATGAGGAACATAGAGACTAGACTGGTGACATCAGTTGCCCGAGGTCACACACTGGGAAGTGGTGACGTTGGATTCTACCCCAGGCAGCATGGCTCCAGAGCCCGTCTGCTTATCTCCTATATGATAGTGTCATTATAAATCATGGCATTAAGTGTTATTATTCTTCAGCTGCAGGAAGAGGTAGACTAATTCTCACTAAGGTGTTAGTGGTTGCTCACAGTTCTCTGAGGCATTCTATCTAGAAGTCAATACATTGTAAGTGGGAAGAAGATTACATCATCGTGATTAAGAGCATGTTCTCTGGAGTTAACTATTTGGATTCAAATGCCATCTATCCCGCTTCCTAGCTATATAATCTTAACAGAGTCACTTCATCTGTAAGATGATGACAATTATACTAGTCCTGCCTCCTAAGGTTGTTGGAAAAGTTCAGTGGCTTCAATAGTGCAGTTCTCTAGACGCCAGGATGATAAGACTTCACCTGATGCACTTTAGACATATTATCTGGAGAGACTAGTCCCTGGAGAAGGACGTTATACGCTTACAGAGACAGTGAAAAAGCGGAAGACCCTCAATGAGATGAACTGACAGTGTCTGCAGTGATGGCCCAAACAGCAAGGACGGAGGATGGTGCAGGGCCGGGCACTGGCGTATGTGATGTTTGTGGATTGTTGTGGTTGTAAGGTTACTGACTCAACGGAACTTGAAGACAGCAACAGTCCAAGAACAGAGCAGAAGCCTGGCGCCTAGGAAATAATGAACTTGCTTTATCAACTTTATTACTGTGGGAAACTGAGTGGGCTGTTTTTATAGCTCATACCCCATCAGCAAGATGGCCTTTAAAAACCCAATACCATCACGACAGTTCCAACTCTGAAGCCTGAATCTTTACAGATGGAGACTGCCTCTCGTTGCCCATGGAACTGGTGAATCCAAGCCACTGATCTTTCAATTATAACATGCCATACAATGAAAATGCCTTTCCTAATTAAAATCTACACTCCAGTGGGTTTTTAGAGGCTATAAATCTCATGGAAGGAGATAGCCTATTTTTCTCCCATAGAGCAGCTGGTGGATTTGAGCTGCCTGCCTTTGGATTGGCAACACAACTCCTTACCCCCTAGGCCACCAGAGCCCCCTAAGATGCCCTTGGGAACACTGAATCACAGGCCCTCTGACATGGAAAAACCCCAAAGGTCACAGTATGCCTGACCCGCCACTCTGTCCTGTCCTCATGGTCAGCCCTCCTCCTGCGGTCTGTTCCCACAAGGAGCCAAATGACAATTTTTTCCCCTCTCAACCCGCCTCCCCGGTTCCCTCTTCCTCTTTTCTCCAGAGGTTAGCACTCTTATTAATTCATTTCTAGTCTCCCCCTTTCCTTATCCTTGAGACAGCCTTCACAAACTTTGTTCTCGACCTTGTTTCCCCAGTTTGTCTGTCCATCTTAGCTTTCATGACTCAAGCCTCCAGAGGCTTCCCCTGGATTCTCGGAATAAAAGCCAAAGTCCTTTCCTTACAGGCGTCATAGAATTCATTCCATCTGGAAATAATTATTTGGCCATTAACAGCTATTTCTTGAGCTCTCCTTGATGAAGGCACTGTGATACATTTGAGCTGACTGCCTAATGGGTGGAGAGGGGAGGAGCCAAGCTCACAAACAGCTAAATAGCGAGAGTGACATAAAACAGACGCGCCAAAAAGACCAGGAAGAGACCAGAAAGTAAGCTAACCAACAGAACCCACGCCAGGGAGCCAGCACGCCTGCCCTGGGGACGGCGAACCACACTGTATGGATGGGTTGATTGAACTGTGGCCCTCCATGTGTGGATTTGTAATTTGGAAGTTATGTGATTGCTCTGAGCTGTAGACTGAGCAGTTGTAAACGGATTAAGAGTGGGATAAAAGAAAAGACAACTTCAAAACTCCCTGCTCTTGAGCTGATTCTGACTCATTTC